AACAGTTAAGGGATTCAGCCAGTCCCGCTACTGCCCTATAATCCATCGCACACTGTCATCCCACCTGATTTAATTTTGCCACCTTCTGTTCAGTAATGCAAATAGGCTGTTGGATGCATACTGTTGATTTTAGATATCCTCTATTCCATGTGCAATCCGGCTTCTGAAAGGAAAAAGATCCAGGCTGCGTTAGGTTATGTCGGAGTTCCGTACGTTCTCCTCAAGTGTGCTGGGCTGCTGGAGCAGAAGAATATTTGTCTGACTGGAATTGGAATGACTGATTGATTTGGGTTATGAAATGGGGTGCTTATATGGTGATGTAGGTCTGTGCAGACCTTGCAAGTTGTATTTTAACTGTTTTAAATCTATTGTGTAACAAGTCACATATCTTTGGTCACCACCTTTGTTGTTTTTGTAGCGACTAATGAAGTAACCATTAGTGGTGTTTAGCGACACCGTATATTGGCTACAGAACCTTGGATAGGAAATGGGCTTGGATCGTCTAGTCATTTGTTAGTTTGATTTTTGCATAGATTTTTGCAAACTTTAAGGGTGAATGGTTAGGGTTAGGTGGGATGATCACGCGTGATGCTGGGTTATATGGGGGACTTGCTGGACCTCTTAATGGTTCGTTGCTGGACATTTTCACAAGGGGGGGTTTGTCTGTTTTTTTTAAAGGAGCAGAAGTTGGAAGGAAAGTGTGATCTTTGGACTCTATTGAAACTCATGCTTTCAATCTTACCTCTTTTACCTTTTTGTCTAGAATTCCATCTCCTTTTTAAATGAGTGCAAAAACGTAAATCAGGCTGGTGCACAGCGTCTGTAGGAGGGGAGCCCCACTCTGACAGATCTTCTGAGGTGCCCTAAATCAGGGCTCTCCTCCTGAAGATCCTAGCATGTTCGTGGGAGGGGGCGCATGTGCAGCCAGTTACAGTTGCATAGAATATAATAATAGTAAAAACCCTAGCTCTTATCGGCAGACCTCAAAGCGCTTCCCAGTCTAATGGGTTTATTGTCACACCCCTCGTGTGAGGCGGGGCACTGCTGGTATCCCCCCGTTATAGACGGGGAAGTGAGCACAGGCTGACTCGGCCTTGGCTACGCTTGCGGCAGCATGTTGCGTGTGTGTAGCTACACGTCACAGTGAGCGGCGGGCTGCATTCCATGCGGTGGTGTGTAGGCGCTGGCAGGGGGGAATGGCTCCAGCAGCAGGACACGACACTACTAAAAAGAGCCGTGCTGGGGGAGGAGGCTGTGCTTGGGCATGCAGAGAGCCATCTAGGATTCGGGTGGGTTTGTGTTCTACCTGCCTAAGCTGTGCCTTGCCACCTACTCTGCTGTTTCTACCCGGGCCAGCTGGGCGGGCAGGGTCTGTGCTCTACACGCCCCCGACGCGACTTGCCCCAGGTCACGCAGGTGTCTGTGGCAGAGCAGACGTCTCCAAAGTCCTAGGCCAGCGCCCTAACCACTGGACTGCAATTCTTCCATGTTCCACCATCGGGTGCCGTGGATAATGGAAATGCTTATATTTTACAGCTAGAAAATCCCAAATGTTTAACTTTTGTACTGTTGGTAAAAGCCTGTGAGAGCCTGGCCTCCCTGGCAGAACTCACCTTACTGTCAGTAGGGCCAGAATTTCACCAAAGGCCTCTGCACCCCTTTAACACGTCCCCAGGCCTCCCACACCTCCCAACAAGGGGGACTTTTCTAAACACCAGGCTCTGAAATTCCTTATCTGATTTTTTCTCAATATTTCCCAGAAACAAGAGGCACAAGGTAGGGTTTCAGGGGATTGGTTTGCTTTGGGGAAAGATGGGGTACATACTGAAAACAGGGCTTTCTACTGAGCAGCCAACATCTTCCTTGGCCCTGGAGGTGCCCTCCTGGCTCGCCACTGCACTCGTCGCTCATGCTGAGGCTCCGTGAGTAGCCTGATTGTAGTGACATCTTTGCTGTCCAAGTGCCTGGCCCTCTGCTAAATGCCAAGCCTCTGTTCCTTGCCTAGCATGCCCAGGCCCTGCAGCCGAGAAGCAGGAACTTGGCCCTTGCGCTCTCTTTCAAGCAGCAGTAACCTGGTTCCCTCATCGGGGATGACCCAATTTTGGCCCTCGTGTTTTTCCTTGGAAACCAGATTATTGCTGATTACAAGGGGAAGATAACAAGGAAATTGCTTAATCGGTCACTGATTCTGAAGGCTAAAGCTGCATCTAATTGTACTGTGGGTTACATGTGGTCTGGCTGGTCCTTTGCTTGGCACTCAGGCCTCGGAGCACAGTTAGCAGAGGTGGAGTTCTCTGATCAGCAGCTTTGCAGAGCACAACGTGGTGGTTAAGCAGCCATGAAGGAGACCCCAGGGCGCTAGCCAGAGTACCGTGGGAGCTGCAGGGTGTCCGGCTTTACCGAGACATTGCTCGCCACTGTCCGTGCATTGCTATCCAGTATGGAGCCTTTCCCCACTAGCTCTGGGGTCAATTCCAGGCAGGGACCCAGCTGACAGCTGTTCCCTTGTAGTCGCTGCTCCTCAAGCTCTGGAGGGGGACCTGGAGTTTTAGCGGGGCAGGCAGCCCTCCCGTTCAGCCCCCCAATGACGTCACTCCTCCCGGAGCCTCAGCAGGGGCAGGACACGAGGGAGGCCTGCCCTGCCGCTACCCAGGCTGCAGCTGTTCTGTGCGCGAGCAGAGCAGCTTCTGTGGCTGCCGGGGGTCATCCCTCTCCCGTACGCATGTGCTAGAGGAGCCCCCGGGAAAGCCAGCCAGGGCCACGGCCGCTCTGCCGCCGGGCAGGGGGGACCAGACTCGGGAGAGGCAGCTCCACAGGAACCATATAACGCCCACCCCCCAGCTCTCTGCCAGCTTCAGACAGTGCTGGGGCCTGTCGTCTCCGAGCTCCCCCTAAAGACGGGAGCTGCTGCAACCTGCTCTACTTATACAAACTAGCTGTACCCTCCAGGCTCCCATTAAGGTGCTACGGCAGGCCGGTAGTGGGACAAAGCTGGGGTGGGATGAGGCAGCCCCCATTCAATCTCTGTGCAGCCTTTATGAATGATCCCTATAGAGGAGTTTCCAGGCACCTCCCCGTGACTCCCCCCACCCCTGCTGTACCCTGGGAACCAGCAGGTTTAGTTACAAGGCAGGGGCCGCCCTCTAGCAGACCGCATTCAGAAATCAATCAAGCAGCAGAGTGGAGAAGCTGGGGTGGCCATTCCCTCCCTCCCTGCTGCCAGCACAGGAGCAACCATCACCGCAGGCAGAGTTCATACAGCGCACAGCTGCTGCGTGGCCCGGGAAGGTCAGCACAGAGATGTAGAGTCCAGCAGAGAGGCAGAGTGCTGGAGCATACTCCAAAGCAGTGGTTTCCAATCCTTTTTCGTTTGCAGACATCTACAACATTTCGAATAGAGGTGCAACCCCCTTTGGAAATCTTAGATAGTCTCTGGCATCCCAGGTCTCCACAGACCACAGGCTGAAAACCACTGCTCTAAAGCAAGATGAAACCCAGCAGTTCCCGAGCATTAAGTTAAAGCCCATTCACTGTTCACATGCAGGCAGCACCAGTAACACATAATCTTGCGTCTGTGTGGCAGACCGTCCTCACCAAGGGGTCCCACTCTTCCTTCAGGGTGGGCCTCCAGCCCCGGAGACTGAGCCTCTGGGCTCCTGCCCTCCTGCTTTACACCGGGAGCTCTGCCCAGGAAGTCCAACTGAAGCAGGCTGCTAGTGAGAGATGTGTACGCTCTGCAGGGACCAGTGTGCCCCCACAAGGATTTCCAGTGACACTGAGGAGCCTTGTGAGAACACAGCTAGGTTTCTTAGGCAGCTGGGACACAGTGTCGGACGTCCTTCGGTTAGCACAGAGAAATAAAGGTTAAGACATAGTCCATCTGGCCAAGCCAGAGCAACCCGCAAGTCAACCTGCTCTGGCCTCCATTCCAGGCTCTCTCTGGCCCCTTTCTCAGGCCAAGGTGAGAGCGGCTGGGCCTCTCCCCAAAGTCAACCATTATCCCCTTCCTGTCACCTCTCAGTCCTTACTTCTCAAGATGGCCTCTGCTCAGCTCCCCTGCCAAGGGAAGGGGAAACCTCCTGCCTCTGGCTTATTGGGGGCTAGGTGTTAGTGTTCTGGCCACTGAGGTTTTCACTGTCTTCATGGACTTTCCACTGATAGGAGTCAACCCCGGCCTGTCTTTTAATGACCTGTTTGGTCCACCCTGCTAGCTAGGTGACACCCTTGCCACGTCTCCTGCGCTGCCCCAAGCGCACTCTTCATTCTTTCGCACCCACTGGTTAGCAATGCAACATACAAGGGGAAACTGAGGCACAGAGAGGCATCCAAAATATTACAAAAATTTCCCACTTTGGCCCACCTTGCACAGCTGCAGTGTAGGCGGCAGAGACAGTGCACGGCTATGGAGACTGCAGTCTGCTGCTCCTCTCTCAGCAGCAGGAAGTGGGGGTGGGGTTAAACCCAGGTGTGTGTTTTCAGTTATGTAAATTTCTGGAGGGTGGTGACTGTGATTCCCTTAGAGGTGGCCCCTAAGTGCAAGGCCCCACTGTCCCAGAGTTGTCTAAGCGAATCACATTGGGGATTGAAGCTCCTAAAAACACAGGACCCTTCCCTTTGAATCAAAGCAGAATCTCCGCTGGCTGTGGTCATGTTAAGCCTCTTAGCCCCTATGGGCTGTATTTGTTAGACACACACCTAGACAATTACACACCTCCCTTGCTCTGGTCTAACTTCCGTCCTGTGCAGAGGAGCAGAACACACATGCCAGCCAGGACTTTTCAGGGCAGTTCAGCTTCAGAAGCTACTGAAGACTGCTGACAAACTTGGATTGCAAGTCAGGGCACTCACACCAGGTGATCCTAATGCAGTTGTCTAGACGCAGCTGCGAACAGAGCAGCTCCCCTTTTGCATGGGTTAAGGCTGGTGACAGACACAAAGCAGCCACTGAGCTGGAACCACAAGCACTGACAAGCGCTTGTTTGTGTCTTCCTTTCTGCCAGTCAAGGAACAGCGGACAGCAGGGGGACATGGATGGGGCTCGGCGACTCGGGCGCATGGCCAGGTTGCTCAGCATAGTCTCCATTGTCCTGGGACTCCTCATCATTGTGCTGTACTGTTCGCTCAATTTCACAGGTAATGCCTCTTTCCCTCTTCCCCCACTGGCCAGCTGGCGCACGAGCACCATGGCACCTCCGCGCCTGGGCCCACACTAGAGAATCTACCGGCTAGGCCCTAGCAGCACACCTGAAAAACACAGTGTGCCCACATGCAAGGGACACGTCCGTGTGTGAAATACCACGAGGATGAGACTGCAGGGCTAAATACCAATCTAGCCTGAATGTTTCTGTGCCATTGTGGACAGTACAGGCTGAAATAGCTCGGACAGCCATCCCACAATGCACCGGTGGCCCTGTGAAAAACCCCAGAATCCCCTGGGAGCTGTGCTGGAAATTGGAGGAATGCATTGTAACAAACAGCTTAGAACCTACTTTCTCCACCTGTGGGCTGCACCCAGGTTTCAGTGGTTGTAAACACCTTCTCTTGTGCCTGCAGAGAGGGGGAGCCCACAATTTTAGGGGGGTTGTAACATGAGGGCATGGTCTGGGAAAGATGGGGACCAATGGTTTAGAAGAACGGAAGCATGTACATGAGGCAGAAGTGCAGCGATTCAGACATGAATCTGCATTCTTGGAGATCCAGCCCAAAGTGCTTCCAAACAAACCAATCCACAGAGTCAGCACCATTTATACCACTGCTGTGCTAGGTCACAGGTGCGCTGACCTCACAACACTTCAACTCCCCCAAGGACCGAGCTGGCCTCAGTGGAACCACACAAGAGCGGGAGGGGACGTAACTTAATTTGTAGAGGCCGTACTAAGACTCTCTTTATTTCACAGTTTTTCAGAAGACCAATTAGCACGAAAATACCTGGAAGAAGAGGAAGACGTCTTTCCTCCCCAGGGTTTTAATATTACCCTTGCAGCAACCATGTTACAATTTAGAAGGGCGGCCGGAGGAAACATCTCTTCTGGAGCGTCGTCCAAGGGAGTGCATGCATTTATTTCACAGCCTGTTGGAAAATGATTTCATACCAAACAAAATGACTGGATAACACAGCAGCTCGACAAGGACTGGGAAAGAGGTTCAAATCCCAAGGAGAGGTGGAATGGAGGGAGATCCGCTACCGCACTCCTGATCAGTAACAAAGATGGTGGGTGGGAGGGAGAGTATGACAAAAAGGGGACAAGAGGAGAACTTCATGAATGAGGTTTATTTAAAGAACCTGAAATTTAAATTTTTTTAAAAAGGAGAGAACAGGACGTTTTGAGGAACCTTCTTTACAATTTTGGGACAAATCCTGTTTTTTGTATCGACAAATTCTCCATCTCTACGAAAAAGCTCAAACTGCCATCGGGAGATTAAATCAATTCAGTGAGGGAGAAAGGAGAGCGCCACTACAGGGGGACATCACATGCACCTTTCTGCAGCTCTGGCCAAAACCACAGCGAAAGGTGGAGGATCTGGTGGGGGGGATTTTGTATTTTTGATTGGGGGGGGGGGGGAAGCTAACGACCATTTGCATGCCTCTGGGAACGTCCTGCTCCATGTCTGTTTGTACAAAGCTCTTCCGTCATTCCAAAGCATCCCAGAGCTGGGAGAGCAGGGATTCTGCTGCATGAGGAATGCCAGCTTAGCAGGAGAGTCCCCCGCACCCCAACCCCACACTGGGGCTTTTATGGTAGGAACTGTCTCTTCTCTTCGGAACAATCCATTTCTACCTCTCTGCACCCCAGTGAGGTAACGTTTGTGCAGGCGGGAATCTGAGGCAGCAGCGGTGCCCAGGACCGGAGAGCAGATTCTGTCCACTTGAGCATTTATACCATGTCCATCATGGCTGGAGCAAAGGCCTAACCCAGAGCCCGTCACAGTCACTACAAAGACACCTACTGGCCTGGGGGGTAAATTTCAAAGGCCCCACAGGGAGTCTCTCATTGCACCCTCGCTCCCCTTTGACAATCCTCCCAAATGCCTGTTTTAGCCCCTCTTCAGCTGTAACCACCCACGCAGCTTGGCTCAGCTCCATGAAAGGTCAGTTTTTAAGTGCGTTATATACAAATGACAGACTTCTGCTCGGCAGGGTTCAAAATCTTTGTCCATGGCCTTCCCATCACCTTCCACAACACGTGTTTCACTGCTTAGCTTTTCCCAGCAGCTCAGGGCCTGGGATTTTCCTCACAGTCCGTTCCCTGGCCTCACGCCATACTTCATCACCTCTGACTCTGTCCGGGCTGGGTTTTGTTGCTTTTAGTACACAACGTTCTGCTGCCCGCCTTGTGTGACACTTCCTCGCTTGAGGTTTTATCCAGGTTTTGTTGATGGCTTTGTGCCAGCTGACCCCCCGATCTCCGATTGGTGCTGTCTGCAAACTCACCAATGGGGGTTATACGAGAGCTGCAGTTGGGCACACTTTGACCACTCCATCATCCACATTTTACAAGCCGGTACCCAGCCACACCCTTGACTGCTCTGCGAACGCTGGCATTCCCAAGCCTCAGCAGAGTAACACACTTCTCCTCCCTCACACCCCTAGTAGCAATTTTGAGTCTCTTGGGAAGCTCTGAACCAAACCCGCTGGCAGTTAGCTGAGAGAATTCCCTTGCCACCCATTTCTGTGCTCCTCATTAATATGTTTTCTTTTGCTAGGCTGGCTCAGAAGCTCGGTGACAGTAACACAGAATTCCCTGGGTACACTAGGAACATGCTTCTCCGGCTAGAAGCAATTCTTAGGATGCAGAACCATTTGACTTTTTGCTACATTACCCTGCTTTCCCGTGCTATGTTTTCCCGCATCTCCAGGCTTCAGTTCCTGTCTCCAGCACTCGATTAGAAACTACCAACTTCTAGAACACAGCCCAACTCTTTTGCAACATCCCTCTTGTTATCTGACTTTGAGTGTTTGGCACTTAGGGAGAGCTCCGTGAGTTTAAGCAAGGAGGGAGCTGAGGGACAGTAGCTTATTGCACTCAAGTATGTTTTGATTTCCCTTTTCACATTTCATGCAGAATAGGTTCTCGCTGAGCAATGCCCGATGCACGAGGTGTAAACTCACAGTGTCTGAGACATCCAGCTGCCTCAGGCAGCCAGATACTTTGTCCAGCAACTCATCAGAAACCCCTGGTTGGCCACTTAACAGGACTGCACGTGGTATTCATTTCCCATGCAGATCCCCATAATCAGCACATACAGTTCACAGAACGTGCCTTTCAGGTTCATTATCTCCTTTCTGACTTGCATAATGACACGGCTTCCTCTTCAGGCATCTTCCTGTCCTTTGCTCCCTGGCCCAACCCACTTGTAACTGACAAATTGCATTTTGGGAGTGCTTAGAAATTACAACAAAAAGAGCCTTCTGGAATGGGAATAGGTGACACTGAAGGAAAACTGCAGTAATGAGTTACAATCCCTTGCAACCAAGTATTTATTAAATAAGAATTTACATGATACTTTATAATTATATAGCACCTCCCCTCGAGGAGCGTGAAGTGCTTGGCAAAATTAACTAACTAACCCTCGACTCCCATGTGAGGTAGGTAAGTATAACACTATCCTTATTGTACAGATGGAAAAATTATGGTATAGGAAAGTTAAATGACTTGCTAAAGGAGACAGACTGTAACAGAGCTAAGAAGAGAAACTAGTTATCCTGTCTCCCAGTCCCCAGAAGACCATCCTCCCTCTCAATTTAAGTATATAAAACAATATATATTTTCTTGGTATGGATTTTACACACACTGCACTTTCAAAAGGGAAGGTGGATCCTTAACCATGAATGGTCCCCCATGGGCAGCTGCCATTTTAAAGATCCTCTACAGAAGACATTCCTGTCTGACGAAGCGGACTAGGACAGAGAAAGCAGAATTCATCTGAATGCATGAGAAGGCAAGAGCTGCCTTAGAAAGAAAATTGCAGTGATAATTTGTTGCATGCATTCAAATGGGATTTGCTTTCTATCGTACCCTACATCATCAAACTGTCAGGACAACAGCTTCCTGTCTCACTGTTAAATATAATAAAAAAGAAAAATGAAGACACATTCCTTCAGTGATTTACTCTTCTTTCTAATTAGACACAGGATTAGATTTTTTTACACTACTCCACACTTTAAAAGCCATCTCCCTCATTCTCGTCTTGTGCTTAGATCCAGTCAAAAGTCTCCCGAGAGCAGTGCTCTAGTCAATCACAATCATAGCATGTAGCCACAATCCATGAAAGCATGGCAGTCGGGGAAGAGCACCAATACACTAATGCACCACGTTGCGGTTAAGTGGCTTCCTTTGCTCAATATATCCATTCACATACTTTGTTGCCCTACCCTAAACGCCTCCTCTCCCACCTTGGGATTTACAGATTTCAAATGCTGTTACTCAGTGATGCCCCATCCTTCGTCACCATTTAGCTATACTCTGTGTACACATCAATATATTTTTCTCAGAAATTTCCCCTTAATAGTTCCTGAATTCTTTCCAGTTTCAGGATTTATCGGTTGCTGAGGAGTAATGATGGTTGAACCTAAAACTGTTCAAAATTTCCACTTGGATAAGGGCTGGGAGTGTCAGGAGAGCGGTTCTCTGGGGAAAGGTCCTGTCCTTCCTGCTAACAGTGTAGCCAGAATAGTCCCGCGCACGGTACAGAGGTTTGAGTGGGGTTCAGTACGAGTTTGTACTTAACGAGAAGCACTTGGCTCATCCCTATACCGGAGGCCCTGGAGCTGTATGCAGTAGCATAGAAGCAGGCTCCTTGGTATTTTCTAGTGAGGGATTCTCCTCCCCGCTCTGCAGCATGATGCTTCTGCATTTGCAGCCCAGAATTGTATGGACTTTTCGGCCACACTCTCTCATAGCAAGCTGCTATCCATTTTGCTGTTTGCTGTCACTCATGGGTCATTTAGCATTTCCGTTTTCCTCCTCCCATCGGATTTTTGTTTTGGTGCAGTTTCCCCCTCCCCCGACATATTAGCTTGCATTTGTTCAGGAAGAATCTCTTTTTCAACCCCTATTTCTCACTATTTTCCTGCCCTGACTCATGTCACAACAGTGCATGATGGCGTCATGCCCAAGACACTGCTAAGTATCCTTCCTCCTTCCCTTAATATCTGCATCACAAAGTGTGGCCGCAGGGAATTACAAGGACCTACATACTTTGAGGACTTAAACCAACAATGGGAAAAAAACAAAATATTCTCAGGCGTGCTGAGATGTATTGCTGCTGATTTAAGAATGATCTAGTTCGCCAGAGTGGTTGAGTACAATCCACCTTGTTTTCTGCATCCAATCACCACTGACTCACTAGTTCCACTGAGTTCATATAACAGAGGAAGAGGATCACACACTAGGTAGATTTGCCCCCTGCACACCCACCCTTGTGACTCTGCTCTTTGTTAACTTGCTACTGCCCCAGCCTCAGCGCACACACCTGGCACAGTTACAGGTGTCCGGGCTACGAAATCCTCAGGGTTTGGTCAGTTTTGCCCTGCAGTACAGTCTTTAATTTCGCACGCAAAATTCAAACCCAGCCTACATTAAGAGAAGCTCCCTGCTCCAGACGTCATTGCTTGAATCCACATGAAGCCCAGAGGGTGGAGGCAGAAGAAACGAATGGAGCCGTGGAAATCCAGTCTCACCTGCTGTTGGGAAGAGGCAGTAGGATGGGAGAGGTCTGGAGAGGCTGGAAGGAGGGAAGAACGGGTATAAACTTGAATTCAGGGAGGACTCGAGAGTGCAGGCCCAGGGAGTGACTGACAAGTGTGAAGTTAAACTGCTTCTGTCAGAGTACCAACATATCTGCAGGGGGTGGGGATCTACATATCTCTGCTCCTGGTGCTCCTGGGCTCCAGCTTATAGGCATGTCACGGAAACCCCTGTTGGTCCCAGGGATGCTAAGAGGAAGGTAATAGCTCACTGTGAGGCCCAGTGCAACTGAGCAGAGAAGCTCTCGGTTTTGTGTCAGTGTGCTGTAAGGCCCCCGCACCAGCTGCTTAAAAAGGGCTGAGAACTCATGTACTAGGCAACTTGGTTACAGTTACTCGTTCACTGTCAGTTTCACGGACAGATTCTGCAGGAGAGGCGGGATGGATTGTAGCACAAACAAAAGGAAGAAAGAGACAAAATTCCCGATGTGAAATTTGGTCCTGTGAAGTGAGGAGTTGAAAATGGAAGAGCCCCAGTGACCGGGTTAGTGAGTCCAGCCCTAGTCCTGGAGTGTCAGACACCTGGCGAGGAGAGCACTGGATTCCACGTTTAATTATGGTCTGTTGGCCGGCATCTGAATTCAGGACTTTATACCCTCAGATCCACAGCAGGCTCCTCACTGACGACACTGGGAAGTTTGCATGAAGATCAGTCTTCATGTGATGAACTATCCACATTCCCCTTATTGTCTCATTCACTGTCACTCCGGGGGTGTGTGTGTGATCTGCCCCCCTTTAGGCCATTGCTCTTTCTGCTCTGCGCTTTAATTTCTTCCCATCTATCCTCTCTCTGCTTCATTCCTCCTCCCTGCCTGTGAAAGTCTGCTCTGTTCTTCCTTCTGCATTTCCATGCCTGCAGCAATTCCCAAGTCCCATGAGCTTCACTCCCACTTTCCTGTTCCAGCCGCTAAACTGCCCAGTAACGGAATGCGTCATGCTGACAATGAAGTGTCATTGCTGGGCTTTACAGTTGATGCTCCAATGAGATTAACAGGGCACAGGGGAGTTCACACCTCGGAGTCATTGGTTTCAGGCTGTCCGCACACTCAGGCAGATGTTGCATCAGGTACCCTTCCCAATGTGAACCAAGTTTATCTGTGGAGCCCGGAGGGCCAGAAAGTTACTTGTTTCTGAAAATTAAAGCTTAGATTCTGAATAATCTGAGTATGTGAGGCTGCCTGCAAAAACAAACAGGTGGGTTCCATTTGGGCCATATATTTGGCATCCTTGCCTTAATCTACGTAAGTTTGGTCCTTACAGCTTTATGGAACCAGTCATGGCTCAATAGTTATGACTGAAATCAGCAAGCCTGCTTTAAGCCCATTTTTGACAAATATATTTGTTTGTTAAAAACACAACCAAGTTTAGCCAAATGCTTGGCCTCAAGCCAAGGCAGAAAAACCTTTTCAAAAAGCTGTAGCAAGTTTTTTCTTCAAATAATTTTTAATTAGCTGGTAATGAAAAATCAAATATCTATATAAATAATCATGACAAGGAACTTGAGAAATGGAAAACACGGTTCACCATGCCAATCTGATCTCATTTCTGAGCAGGGACCCTCTGTTTCAGGGCTTTTTACATGAAGACAAAAAACTGAGAGCCTTTACAATGAAGCCCAGGATGTATCCCCCATTGTCACACTCCCAGGTTCATCCTGTTCTGAAGCCAAACTGTCTGGATCATGCTTTGTACAGGTTTACAGACTGATCCTTACAAATCGCCTTGATGTAACTGGAATTCCAGCTTGGAGCTCCTTTTTGGTGATGTTTCTTTTTCTGCAGGATGCCGTGATGTATCTTATATACTTTCCTTCGTATTTCTTGGCATGAGAACAAACAATAAAATGTAACATGCATGGTCAAATGTGAGCGTGCTTGTTCTGTCTAAATGAGAAAAGAGCCAGTGGGTACCGACATGGAAAGAAAGCTGCAAACCTGGACTTTAGTCCTTGTACCTGGTGATAAAGACGTTGCAGGGAGGAAAACTGAGAGGTAGGGCAGATGGAGGAAAGAAATAATCATAAGGGTCCAACCAGGCTAGTATTCTGCCTGTAGAAGTAGGCAACACCCAGTGTTTCTGTGGAAGGTCTGACAGATCTAGCCACTTGTGTAATGCTGTACTTCTGTTTGGGTGCATGAGCAGAGAGAATCATTCCTGCCTGCAGCTCAGAAAGCCACAACAGCTAGTGGTTAAACAGGGAACTGTGAGTCAGGAAGCCGAGGGTCTAATTCCTACCTCTGCTTTGTGGACATTCGGCTGTGTGACCTTGGGCCAGTCTCTCCCAGTCTGGCCTTCAGCTTGTCCTGAAAGTAGGAAGAACATGCTCACTTCCCAGGTGCGTGGAGAGGATACATTAAGAAGTGGTATTCATTGCACTGTGCCCCATAGCAGAACGTTAGCAGGAGGCAGCATGCAAGGAGGGTTGGGGGGTTTAAGTAGCTTTTACTCACTAACACAAATCTCTCCTGTTGGGAGTGGGTGTCAAGAAACTTGCCCTGGAGATACATTTGGAAGGCAGGCAGGGAACTGAGACGTCCCATGGACTAACCCACAGCGAGCTGCTCTCCGCAGCAGAGAGAGAGGAGGAGAAAGAAGCTTTGGGGGGCATGCGCTGGCCCTGAACCCAGGCAATCGCTTTAGCAGAGCATGCTGTGGGTTCCATGTCACATCTCTGGGCTTGGAGTGTGAGCACAGAGACTGCACTGGTCTAAATACCTGGGAGATCAGCTTAACAAAAGGAAAAACGAAACCGTGCAGCGTTGGTAGCTGGAAAGGAGCTGCTGGGCCACGTAGCCCACACCTCCCTAGAAGTTACACCATCTGTTCCTAAACGAGCTGGGAGAAGAGACTGAACAGAAGCAGGTGGGTGGTTGCTTTAAATAACTCAGGACCCTGCAATAGATAGTACTACTTAACATTTATATAACGTTTCCCAGGGGATGGTAAGAGCCTTATTCCCACTTTAGAGATGGGGAAACTGACCTGCTGTGGCAGCTGTCAAAGTTTGACTCAGACTCACAATTTATCAGACCACTCTGTTTTATTAGCAAAGCTGCTCTGCTAATACATTTAGAAGTGAGCCCCCCGAGTGGGGCTTGTGTCTTTTAATTTATACAGTTTTTTGGAGAACAAGTTACAGAGAAGTTACAGACAAAAGAAGAAAAAGATTTTAGTCACCACCCTTCGAGATCCCTGAGACCAGTCACGTATCTTCAATTACCTGCCACCCTTAACAATCTCCTTTAACAGTTTCCAGTTAACTTAACTAATTGCCCTTCACACCTTCCATTCTGATGCCTGCTTCTTAGACATGCTGGCTCTATCTTAATTGCTTCTCCATTCAAAAGCTAACTGTCCCTACATGTGCTCCCTCAGATACTTTGTAACATGTTTTGGCATGCCCTCTCATATACAATGTATCCAGCATGTCCCCTTATACAACGTTATACTTATACAATGTTATACTTTCACACAGCGCAGGAGAAGAATTAATTGTTCCCGATTCCTAGCCCTATCCCTGGGATCATCCTTCTTCCCAGTAACTGGGGTCCTTTTCCTTTTTAACCTCTTCTGCAGAGTGAAAGCATTGCTACTTTTTTTTTTCTTTCCCTTGTGCCCGGCATGACCTGACGCCGGAGACACAGCTGCCAATCTCTCACTCTCCTGTTCTCCATCACATTTACACAGGAACAGATTAACACAACTTGAATATTCAATGCCAAGATGACAGATTAAAGAAGAATACCCCAAGGAGGCAGAACATCCTTTGCATTACTTGGCTGAAGGAAGAATAAAGAAGCCCAAAGCAACACAGAGGTCAGGTTTGACAGCCCTGAAGAGGAGAGGAGGCCAAACTACGAGGTCACTTGGGAAATGGACTTGGTGACGGGGCCTGCTCTGGTAATGCTGCTTTTCCTGTTAGCAGAATGGGGCTCTGAACCATACTGGGTTTTGCTGCACTGAAGCTCAATATTACAACGCATGAACTAAGCAGAAGACAAAATGTTTGAAGCCTGAACTAATTCTAAGTTATGCTCTTGCTGCTCCGTCACACACACACAAACACCTACAGATTCTGGGGCTGACTTTCAAGGGTGACTAGTGATTTTGGGTGCCCTACTTAAGAAGCCGTAATGGTGCTCGATTTTCAGTGAGTGCTGACCCACTGAAAATCAGGTTCCTTTAAGGTTTCTCAAGCTGGGCAGCCAGTACCACCTAGGCACTGTCAAAAATGATGGTTCCCAGCAAGGACTTCTCAAGCAGTCAGATTAGACTGCTGCTGAATGGTTCGGCCCTGTGTACTGAGGCCTCAGTGGAGTTTACTCCTGTCTGATGCCCCAGCTGTTTAAGGTTACTGACTTATATTAGAGCAAAGTTATCAACAATCTGCCTCTGCAGTCTGTCTCTCTCTTGCGCCCAAATTCCTTCATGTCAGCTAAACACGAATGTCTGCTTCTGGCTGAGTCTAGGGTGCATTCCCTCCTCCTGTAAGCGAATCCCCCTTCCCAACATCAAGGTGACTGCGTCTCACCTCCAGCTGCCTTGATGCAACATATCCACTTCAGATCCACATCGGAGTAATAGCACTGAACGGAAACAACCACGTCATCTTAATTCTGTGCAACATCAGCATTGACATCGGGGAAATTCTTCCAGCTGATGGTGAGAGTCAGCAACGGGAGTACATAAGGACCTGGCCTGGAGCACAGAATGGCAGATGGAATGCTGGTGAAGAGACAATGACTACAGAAAGAGCGGTTGGGCCGACTTCCACACCCCAGTGGCCTGAATTACGGAATTACAGGTGAATTACGGAAGCTTCCGCCTCCCCTGAAGTATTGGCACCAACACACTGCTGGAGCCACAATCTCAGGCTAGTTGGACCAGGGCTCCACCACTTCAGGCCGCTCCCCAAACAAAAAGAACAGGACGACTTGGGGCACCTTAGAGACGAACCAATGTATTGGAGCATAAGCTTTCGTGAGCTACAGCTCACTTCGTCGGATGCCTACTGTGGAAAACACAGTATGCATCCGATGAAGTGAGCTGTAGCTCACGAAAGCTTATGCTCCAATACATTGGTTAGTCTCTAAGGTGCCACACATCCTCCTGTTCTTTTTGCGAATACAGACTAACATGGCTGTTACTCTGAAACCTCCCCAAACAAAGGAATCTGCGGTACACAATATTTTAAGCCAAGTCTGCAAGAACTGCAATGAAACTGAGAATCAGCAACTTATCCTTCCAAGGACTGGCCGCGCTGGTTTCGCTCGGGATGCTGTTCAGTCTTTGCTGATTGGAGAGTATGAGAGAGAGAGATGGAGAGCAAGCGTCCAGGACTCCTCTTTGCTCTGACGACCCAGTCCAAATCCTTCAATGCCTTGGGTTGTGCGCGCTAAGACATGCCAGTTACTTTAATAGCAATTTTACATTAAAGAGTTCTTTCCTTCTTAGGGAAGTGAATTGTAATTTCTTCTCTCTTGGAAAACAAAATAGGATGCTCAAAGCTGCAGAGGCAATTAGATTCAATCATCGTGAACTCTCATGGAAAGTGCAACTCTGCTCTCTGTGTGCTGGGAATCTCTTCCTTCTACACAAGGAACAACAGAGGAAGAGGAGTAGCTATGTTGACCAGTAACCTCATTAGAGGAAACATCCAGAGGCCCAAGTTAAAAATTACATATGGCACTAAGTCTGTGCTAATGCTTTCTATCGAGTTTGGAAGATTATATACATTAAAGATGGGAAAGATACATTAACCTTAATCTAATCCATCCCCAGCTAGTGCAGGACTGCTCCCTACAGTGTATTTCCCTTGCCAAGCCAAGATACCAACGGTATAGATGTCTGTCTGTTCCCTTGAGAGACTGTTTTAAGAAAGCTCATGTAGCAAACCTTTCTATTGGACCTGATTAAAATGTCAGTTATTTCTTGTGGGAAATTTTAGAAAACATATACATTTGTTTTTTAAGTATCATGCAAAAAATAAAATTTTTAAATCGAAAACCAAAACAGGTTCAATTTTTGAGAACCATTTTTGGTTAAAATGTTCGAAAACCAAAATTTTATTTCCTTTACTAAAAATCAAACGTTTCCCCCACACCCCCAAAGAACATTTTGGTTTCCATTTTTTCATTCAAAAAATGGAAAACTTTGACCAAAATGTAAGTTTTCTGTGAAAGCTTTTCTTTTGGTCAAAAAAGCATTTTGCCTTCAATGGCTCTGGGTTTTTATATTAATACATTGATCTAACAGATGAAGATTTCAGGCAATTCCAGTGAGCAGCGGCCTGTTTAATTAAAATCATCTAGAAAATGTGTGCGTTACACCCCTAGAACATCTCTTCAGATTCATAGAAGTTAGTATGATTAGAACTGGCTGGTCCTGCTCTTCACATGGCTCCCCTCTGTAGGACGGCACGTTGCTGCCTGTGCTTTCACAACGACTACCCAAAAAATGCAGAGGCTCCAGGTGTGACAAGGAAGGAGCATGCTACCGCCGCAAACTCAAGAACTGTAGGACTTCCCATGTCGACAAACTGGACTTCTCAGGAAGGCCTGTTGCCCCAGGCCTTTGAAAACATTTCTTTACGCGCTATCCAAAGCACTGAACAAGCCTCATTGAAATGCATAATGTTGGCTGCCATGCGGGAGAGGCAGGGTTGACTCTTAGACCATTACCTTGCCTGCTGGGTCGGTGGGCACAGCACAGGCAGCCCCAGTCGCTAGGTAGGCAAGGAGCGAAGGCAGCTTATCACTCAGTGAGGCCACAGCACATTTACACAAAAGGCCTTTGGATGCTGCCACCAGCAGCAATGCACTGTAAAGCAATGCACTATAAAGCCCCAGGTGTCTCAGGCCAAT